AAAAAAAAGAAAAATATATATACATATTATGATACATATATATATTATGAATATATATATTTAATCTTTTAGAAGTGTTTGTTTTATTATCTGCAGGATAAAGATAATATAAATTAGATATTTTTAAAAACTTTGCTGACTCGGTGCCTGTAGCTTAAGTGGCTAAGGTGCCAGCCACATACACCTAAGGTGGTGTGTTCAAATCCAGCCCGGGCCCGTCAAACATCAATGACGGCTGCAACCAAAAAATAGCCAGGCGTTGTGGCGGGTGCCTGTGGTCCCAGCTCCTTGGGAGGCTGAGTCAGGAGACTCGCTTGAGCCCAGGAGTTGGAGGTTGCTGTGAGCTGTGATGCAACGGCACTCTACCCAGGGGGACAGCTTGAGGCTATGTCTCAAAACAAAAAAAAAAAGAAACAAACAAAAAAAAACTTTGGCTAAGATCTTTTCAGGGAAGGCATTAAAGAGGGAAGGTCTTTCTTGCCTCCCTGGAGATGGGGCTGGGCATTGTGCTACTGGAGGGGAGTTGCATCTGAAGAGGTTTAGATTCAGCAACATTGTTCCCTGTTTATTTCTCCTTATTGCGAAACTGTTATCCCTTCTAACTCTTTCTCTTGAGTTTCTTAAACTGAAGACCTAATGCTGCCGCCCTTGGGCTACTGTTTAAGGTTGTGCAGTTACTAAAGTCCTGACCGTTCTTCCCTTATTGTGTGTCCCGGAGGCTGGGAGCTGAAGAAAGGCAGTGGAAAGGGACACTTAAAAAAATAATTAATTTATTCAAAAGGAATGTGTTTTTGCAATTTGCATATAATTCTTAGAGGTGCTGGCTGCTGCCCTGACTTCCCACTTCCCTATTTCGCTCTAGGGTGGTGTTGATGATGAGATCTCCTTGACCGCATACATCACAGCTGCATTGCTGGAGATGGGAAAGACTACAGATGTGAGTTTTCCTGGCTGCTTCTCTATACCCTCTCCTTATCATGCCTAGAGACATTCATCTATCTTTGTCCTATTTAGTCTTTTAAGGTCAAGGAGGATACAATAATTTCCTTATCACTTCCCATTTTATAAGGAATACCTTATAAATTATGTTCTTCATCTTCACTTTTTAGGACCCAATGGTGAGTCAGGGTCTGCAGTGTCTCAGGAATTCTGTCACCTCCACCACCAACCTCTACACACAGGCTCTATTGGCTTACACTCTCTCCCTGGCTGGGGAAATGGACACCAGAAATAGCCTTCTTGAAAAGTTAGATCAACAGGCTGTCGTCTCAGGTATGCTGGTCATTGGAATTGTGAAAATACGCTGTGCATTACCTATAATTTTATCCAGTCTCCTCTCTAATTTATCCAACTCTAGGATTCACTCTGGCAAAAGTTGTTACGTCATAAAACCATTACTGGGAGTTCTGTGGGAAGCATACCTAAGTCCTCAGAGAAACTAGATGGTAGAAGCTAGTCAAAAAATAGACTGGTATTGTAAAGTCACCATTCTGGAGATCTTCAACAATTCTTTGATCAGCTTGGCGCCTGTGGCTCAAGCGGCAAAGGCATCAGCCAGCCACATACACCTGAGTTGGAGGGTTCAAATCCAGCCTGGGCCCACCAAACAATGACGGCTACAACCAAAAAATAGCCAGGCACTGTGGCGGGGGCCTGTGGTCCCCTGTCTGTGGGAGGCAGAGACAGGAGAATCACTTAAGCCCAGGAGTTGGAGGTTACTGTGAGCTGTGATGCCATAGCACTCTACCCAGGGTGACAGCGTGAGGCTCTGTCTCAAAAAAAAAAAATTCTTTGATCATTTTGGATGTATTTAGAATAATATTTGAAGTTACAATAGATGTTGTATACAAAGTATTAATATACTTTATTTAACCAGCTGTATATTTAAAATTATACTTTCAGATAAAAATTCCATCTCAGCTTACAGATGTGTCATTGCTGAGTTGTCCTGTCATATAGGCTCAGGGTGGTTTTCATCTTGTAAGCAAGCAACATCAGTTTTGGAGCAGGTGTCTTGGAGAGTGGGTAGAATTCTGTTCCACTGTATGTTGATTTCTTGGGATTATCTCTTTTCCATTATCTTGCATTGCAAGCTCATTCTATTATGTTTTCTATTATGTTCTTCCAATTAGATTGCCTCTCACAGATTGTTATCTCTAAACTTCCATGGATAATAATTACACTTCTAACGTCTACTCTTCTCACTCCATTTTTTTTCTTGTTTTTCTTCAAGTTATCTGTTATCTATCATTTTGGCTGTCCCAGAGGTTTGTTTTGGTCTCATATTCTATTGGACTGCCCTCTAAGCATAGTTTTTCATTGCCCTTATTAGCATGATTAGCATTTGTCCTATAGTTTCTCAGAGTTCTTATGTATATTCTGCCATTTTTGTTCTACTTAAAATGGTAAACTTTTGATTATGAAGAATAAATGCTAAAGAATTAAAAATTCTATAAGTCATAAAAATGCCCCCCAACATGGAGATTTGTAAATTTCTACTTTCCTACCTCTATTATCATCAAAATTTATAAATCCATAGGGGCAGTTTTCATGTAGTTGCTGGAGGCAGAGCATTTATCCAGACTCCCAGCTTTACCTTAGAGAACTATGTGTAGATGTGTACACACACACATTTGCACACACAGACACACACACATCCTGCCATTTATATCAGGGTCAATTAATCAGCTGATTCTGAGAAATACATCATTTTAACCTATGATTAATTCTTTTTTTAAATTTCAGATTAATGTGAGGGCACAAATAATTAGGTTACAATGTTTGCTTTTGTTATGTAGCGTCCCTATTATAATTGTGCATAATTAATTCTTGCTTGGTCCCTTGTCTGCTTTAAGATGCAGCATTTTACAAAGTGAATATGGGAAAAACAGTTCCTTTTAAGACCTTTCTAGTTATTTTTCTTTTTCCATAGGAGAATCCATTCACTGGAGCCAGAAACCTACTCTGACCTCAGATGCCAGCCCCTGGTCTCAGCCTGAGGCTCTAGATGTGGAACTTACATCATATGTATTGTTGGCCCAGCTTATCAAGCCCAGCCTGACTCAAAAGGACATAGCCAGGGCCACTAGCATAGTGGCTTGGTTGGCCAAGCAACGCAATGCATATGGGGGCTTCTCTTCCACGCAGGTAAACAGCCTGCTATCCCACTGTTTGTTGCCTCTCAGGTAGAATCAGATCCTGTGTGGAGGTAGAGGAAAAAATACTGTCCTTGCCCTCTAGATCCAGGATCTTAGAGAGAAAAGGCATGTGAAATTATACAGAAGGATTCATAAAATTGGGCAATGTGAGTGTGTAAGTAGTACCAGATGCATTTAATTTTCTTTCCATGTAGAGTGTTAAATATCATGAGATCCATGTTTTATATGTAAATAGGTCATATATAATTATAGCTAAAGTTACATTTATTTATATATCAACCAATTAGAAAGACCATTATGAGGTCTGTAAATATAAGAGCAAGTTTCATGGGTATATCTCCTTTTCCTGCTATTGCAGGTATTAGAAAGCTAGTAAGATATGGTCTCTACTCTAAAAAGCCTATAGCCTTGGGTGGTGCCTGTGGCTCAAAGGAGTAGGGCGCTGGCCCCATATGCCAGAGGTGGCAGGTTCAAACCCAGCCCTGGCCAAAAAAAAAAGTCTATAGCCTAGACAAAAAGCAAGGACAGTTATCTATTACAAAACTGGATCTGGTTATATAACAAAGGAAAGGTAAAAAAGGTACACAAGACTGAATTTCAAAAAGGAGGAAGAGCTTACATCATCTTAAAGGATAAGAAAAGTTTTCATAAGGGAATGGTGTTTAACATAGATGGCATGTAACTATTCAAAGAGGGAATGGTGTGAATAGAGACACTAATTTGCATAAGTGTTGATGGGTGTTGGGAAAATTGGGTGAGCGAAGCATAATGGGATTTAAGTTGGAAAGGTAGGGTAGGTTCATGTCAAGAAGGGCCATGCATGTTAGACTTGAGTTTGGATCTGCAGAGCTATTATTATTATTTTTTTTGACTTTGTTTCAGAAAGATTAATCTGTCAGTTAGTGTGTGGGATAATTTAGAGGAGAGAGAGACTGGGCTTGAAGAGATCAGGAGACTGTTTCATTTGCCTAGGTTAGGAGTAAGGGGAAATTGAATTAGTGGGATGGCACTAATGGAACCTACCCTACATTTATAACTTAAAAATATGTATATTTTAAGACAGGGTCTTATTCTGTTCATGTCCATGAGGCTAGAGTACAATTGTGCTATCATACCTTACTGAAGCCTCAGACTTCTGGGCCCAGGTGATCTTCCTGCCTCAGCCTCCTGAGTAGCTGGGATAACAGGCATGTACCACTGAACCTGACATTTTTTTTTGATAGAAACGAGGTCTCCCAGTGTTGCCCTGCCTGGTATTGAACTCCTGGCTTCAAGTAATCCTCCTGCCCCAACTGCCCAAAGTGTTGAGATAATAGGTGTGAGCTACAACATCTGGCCAAGAAAACATATTTTTGGTCTTCATGGAGATTATAATCTGATTTGTTGATATTAGGCTTGATTTCTCTGATGATAAAACAGTTAAGTTAGATGTGAAAGAATGAATGGATTTCAATGAAATGTTTGGTAAAGATTTTATGAGCACTGAGTCTAAATATTGTAATGACCTAATTGGAATTTTAAAAGATTGGTTCTGCGCCTATGGCTTAAGCAGCTAAGGTGCCAGCCACATACACCTGAGCTGGTGGGTTCAAATCCAGCGTGGGCCCACCAAACAACAGTGATGGCTGCAACCAAAAAATAGCTGAGTGTTGCGGGGGGCACCTGTGGTCTCAGCTACTTGGGACGCAGAGGCAGGAGAATAGCTTGAGCCCGGGAGTTGGAGGTTGCTATGAGCTATGATGTGATGGCACTCTACCCAGGGTGACAGCTTGAGGCTCTGTCTCAAAAACAAACAAATAAACAAACAAAATTATATGGTACTATGCCTTTCTAATTTAGGGAAATTCTCAGCCAAAGATTAGAAAAGACTCCTTTCTTTTTGCTCATCCCTAAATAACTATATAATAATATTTTTGGAAAGCAGTAGGTGAAATGTTTAGACTTCTCAGTGACAGGCATATGTCAGAACAGTTTTTCAATAAAAACGTTGGCTATTAAAATGTCTCATATCACATATTTTTCACATTGGTTTTTCAGCTGATGCTGAGGTCTCTTTCTTCAAGTTGTTTCCATATGTCCCTCCCTGGCTCCTATTCGAAGAGTAAACAAAAAGTTAGTCAAGCTGCAGTTAGAACTTGTTCACTGCTTCCCCAGGA